TGCCGGGAGGCCTCTTGGCTCCGCTGATCCTGGTGCTGGGAGGCATATTACCCTTTTACTATATAGGATAGAGGCCTGGTGCACGGGTGGGTACCGGCTGGTTTGCCCTGAAGGGTGTCCTGGATCAGGGTGGGGGTCCCCACTGGGGTGCCTGGCCAGCCTGGGTGAGGGGATGATGGCTGTTTGCAGCTGGTCACACACCCTTCAGGGTGGGGGTCCCCACTGGGGTGCCTGGCCAGTCTGGGTGAGGGGCTGAGGGCTGTTTTCAGGCTGGCGGGTGACTGAAGCTCCCAACCGCTCCTTTTTTTCTTTTCTTTTTTTTTATTCTGGGCCAGCTTTAGCTTTGAGGCTTGGCTCCAGCTCTTAGGCCTCCACTGCTGAAAGCAGATTTCTGGCCTTTGTTTACCTTCTGTATTTGAAACAATGTTGCGATCCTCCTGGCTGAAGCCCTGGGGACTAAAGCAGGTTTCTGGGGTTTTGTTTAGCTTCTATATTTGAAACATAGTTGCTTAGAGTTGCAGCTCAGAGGCCTGCAGCGGCAGGCGGGGAACGTTGGAGTCCTCTGTCGCTGAAGCAAGCAAACCTCATGTTCGCTTTAAGCTGCCTGGCTGCCAGCTGCCATCTTGGCTGGCAGTTAATTTGCATATTGCCCTGATTAGCCAATGGGAAGGGTAGCGGTTGTATGCTAATTACCATGTTTCTCTTTTATTAGATAGGATGCCATCCATGTTGTTCCTTTTATTGTCAAAAACAAAGGAATTGTTTTTGTCTGGATATACTTGTGTGTTTATCTGTTCACTTGTTGATGGACATTTAGTTGTGACTGTAATTACAAATAAAACTGCTATGAATATTCATGTACATGACTTCCTGTGGACCTATGCTTTAATTTCTGGATAGTAGGTATTAAGAGACTACCAAAGCGTTGGCCGGTATGGCTCAGTGGAAGAGTGTCAGTCTGTGCACCGAAGGATTGGGGCACGTGCTGGAGGCAACGAATTGATGTGTGTCTCTCATATTGATGTTTCTATCTCTCCCTCTCCTGCCTTCCCTCCCAATGTCTCTAAAAATCAATGGAAAAAATATCCTCGGGTGAGGATTAAAAAAAAAAAAGACTATCAAATTGTTTTCCAAGGTGGTTGATCATTTAAAATCCCCTCAGCAGTGTCTGAGAGTTCCACTTCCTCCACATTTTCTTCAACACTTGCATGGTCATTCTTATAGATGAGTAGTGGTATCTCTTTGTGGTTTAAATTTGCATTTCCCTGTGATTAGTGATGTTGAGCATCTTTTCGTGTACCTGTTGGCCATCTGTCTGTCTCCTGTGGAAACATGTCTTCACATCTGCCCATTTTTTATTTGGATTGTTTGTTCTTTTGCTGTTGAGTTATATGAGTTCTTTATATGTTCTGGATACTAATTCCTTACCAGATATATGATTTGCTGACATGTTCTCCCATTCAGTAGGTCGCCTTTTCATTTTGTTGATGGTTTCGTTTGTTGTGCAGAAGCTTCTTAGTTTGATGTAGTACCACTTGTTTATTTTTGCTTTTGTTTTCTTTGATACCAACAGGTTTCAAATTAAAAAAATCATCGTCAAGATTTATGTCAAAGAGCTTACCACCTAGAGTTTTTTCTTCTAGGAATTTTAATAATTTGAGGTCTTGTAATCAAGTCCTTAATCCATTTATGAGTTAATTTTGTGTATGGCGTAAGGTAGTGGTCCAGTTTTCCCAGTACTATTTACTGAAAAGACTGTCCTTTCTCTGTTGTATATTCTTGGCCTCTTTGTCATAAATTAACTGACTATATATGTGTGGGCTTATTTCTGGGCTCTCTATTCTATTTCATTGATCTATGTGTCTGTTTTATGCCAGTACCATACTGTTAAATACGTTTTTTTACAGTTTACATTCAGTATTGCATTAGTTCAGATGTACAGCACAGTGGTCAATTATACACTTCACAGTGTGCTTCCCCATGCTGCTTTATCACTATCTTTCACCCATTCTTTATGGGTTGTTTGTTTTCTTTTCTTTTTTTTTTTAATATATTTTTTATTGATTAAGATATTACATATGTGTCCTTGTCCCCACGTTACCCTCTACCCCCCACCCCCCCCCACCCCCGCTCATGCCCTCACCCCCCCGTTGTCCATGTCCATTGATTAGGCCTATATGCTTGCGTATAAGTCCTTTGGTTGATCTTTCCCCCTTACCCCCACCCTCCCCTACCTTCCCTCCAAGTCCCGACAGTCCAATCAATGCCTCTCCGTCTCTGGATCAGTCCTTGTTCATCAGCTTATGTTGTTCATTATATTCCACAAATGAGTGAGATCATGTGGTATTTATCCGCTCTCCAGTTCCATCTATGCTGTGGCAAATGGTAAGAGTTCCTTTTTCTTCTTCCTCTTCTTAAAGAATACCTTTCAGCATTTCATATAATGCTGGTTTGGTGGTGATGAACTCCTTTAGCTTTTTCTTATCCGTGAAGCTCTTTATCTGACCTTCTATTCTGAATGATAGCTTTGCTGGATAAAGTAATCTTGGTTGCAGGTTCTTGCTATTCATCACTTTGAATATTTCTTGCCAGTCTCTTCTGGCCTGCATGGTTTCTGTTGAGAAATCAGCTGACAGTCGTATGGGTACTCCCTTGTAGGTAACTGACTGTCTTTCTCTTGCTGCTTTTAAGATTCTCTCTTTATCTTTTGCTCTTGGCATTTTAATTATGATGTGTCTTGGTGTGGTCCTCCTTGGATTCCTTTTGTTTGGGGTTCTCTGCGCTTCCTGGACTTGTAAGTCCATTTCTTTCACCAGGTAGGGGAAGTTTTCTGTCATTATTTCTTCAAAAAGGTTTTCAATATCTTGCCCTCTCTCTCCTTCTGGTACCCCTATAATTCTGATGTTGGTACGCTTGAAGTTGTCCCAGAGGTTCCTTACACTATCTTCATATTTTTGGAATCTCTTTTCTTTTTTCTTTTTCGGTTGGGTATTTTTTGTTTCTTTGTATTTCAAATCTTTGACTTGATTCTTGGGATCCTCTTTTCTGCTGCTGGATCTCTGTAAATTATTCTTTATTTCAGTCAGTGTATGCTTAATTTCTAGTTGGTCCTTTTTCATGTCCTCCATGGTCTCACTATACTTATTGAGGGATTCATTAAATTTATCGGCGGTTTCCATAAAATTCTTGAAAAACCTTATAAATGTGGCCTTGAACTCTATATCCAATCGTTTGCTTTCCTCCATTTCTGCCATTTGTGACCTGTTTCTTTGTCTCCGCATTTTGGCAGCTTCCCTGTGTTAATAGAGTGGCCCTGTGCGCCAGGTGTCCTGTAGGGCCCAGTAGCTCAGCCTCCCCAGTTACCTGGGGTGGACACTCTTGGTGCCTTGGTTGTTGTAGAATCACTGGGAGGAATTGACCTCCAGGCCAATTGGCTGTGAGAATCAGCTGTGTCTAAAGTGGGAGAACTTCTGTGCTGAAGACACCCTTCTGGGGCAAGACTTGCTTCAGTGGGGCTTTGGTGCTCACTGAGTCTGCTCCCTGAGTGTGTCCCTTATGGATCTGAGGAGTTGCAGTCTGGATGGACCCCCTCTGACCACTGGGTACAGTGGCTCCTGGATCTAAGGAGGTGCTAATTCAGCCTCTGCCTGAGGCCACACAGCAGGAGCCACGAAGAGGCTCAGCTGGGAAGCAATGCAAGCCGCTGCGGGGCCTTGGGCCTTCTCTTGGAAGTTCAGGGTCTGCCTGGTTCGGCTGCAGTTAGGTACATTCACATGCAAAAGCCTCTGCCGCAGCCTGGGTGGGGCGGGGTCTCAGGGAGTCAAAGGGCGGAGAAAGCAGCCATGGCCGATTCTCCGCCCGGAGTCGCGCGTCTCAGTGTCCCGGTAGCGGCTGCAAGCACCTCTGAGGGAAAGCCGCCCTCAAGTTCGCTCGCTGCCGGACAGACCAGCCTCTCCCCGTATGAGTCCTGGGTCCCCAGAGACTTCCCGGAACCGGAGTTCAGAGCAGTCGGGAGTTTGTGACTCAAAAAGGCAGCCGCGTCCTCAGGTGCCACCCCCTTTCCTCGCGCGCGCGAGCCGCCGTACCTCTGCACTTCACCTCCGCAGCGCCTCTGGCTCTCAGCGTGCTTTTCTTTCCTTCTAGTTGTAGAATTTACACTCAGCCAGCCTTCCTGTTGTTCTGGATGATGTTTGCTCAGTCCTTTGCGGTAATTTTCAATTGTTGTGTGAGGCGACAATTTCCCGGTGTTTACCTATGCCGCCATCTTAGTTGCTCCTGTTTGTTTTCTTTTTATTGAGTTTTGAGAGTTCTTTATATGTTTTGGATACACATCCATCCAGATATGTTATTTAGAAATATATATTTTTAAATTTTATTGATTTTTTTTTTTAGAGAGAGATGGAGGGAGAGGGAGAGAGAAACATTGATGTGGGAGCAAAGCATTGAACGGCTGCCTCCTGCACAACCCCTACTGGGGATCAAGCCCACAACCTGGGCATGTGCCCTGACCAGGAATTGAACCTTCTGGTGCACCAGACGATGTCCAATCAACTGAGCCACACCGGCCAGGGGTAGAAATATTTTCTTCCTATCTTTGGATTGTTCTTAACAGTATGTTTTTAAGAGCAGAAATTTTAAATTTTGATAAGGTCTGATTTATCAGTTTTTCCTTCTATGATTTGTATTTTGTCTTCCCCCTACCCCCCCCCCCCCCCCAGGATCTTTGCGTGGCAAAGTTATGTTAGCTCTAAAGTGCTTTTAGGAATATTTTGTTTTTGTATTTCATACAGATTCTTACTGTTTTTCTTATCAGGAAGAATGGTCAGAAATATTTGGTTCATCATTACCAGTGCAGCAATCAAGAGATCAAGTTCTATCAAATTATGTTTTATAAAATAATTTTTCTGAGGATCAAAATTGTGGTTAGGTTTGGAATATTTTCTGAACAGTCATTTGACTATATTTGTCTTATAATTCATAAAATGTTTAAAATTGTACAGGTTTGTGTTAATGATGATCTGGTTGCAAAGAACTTCGCTTGTTATGTATCACCCATGGAGAATAAAAACCTTGATTCTTTAGAGAAACCAAGATTGAATATAAAGTCAGCATCCTTTCCCAATAAACTCAATCCAGCACTTAATCTTTGGCCAATGTTTTTGCAAGGAAAAGATTCTCAAGGAATGGAAAGTGAGTAGCTCCTCACCAATATGCTTTCTTAAACTGTCTTATTTATAGGGATCTTAGTGGTTTTTTTTTTAATCTTTATTGTTGAAAGTATTACATATGTCTCCCTTTTCCCCCCATTGACCCCCTCTAGTTCTCCCCTCCCCCACCTGAATTTTAGTGTTTTGATATAAGTTGTTGTATAGATGTTTCTCTGTACAGAGACAGTGACTTGAACTCTGAATTTAGTATTTTAATTGTATACCTAGTGAGTGTGTTACAAGTTTTGAGGTCCTAAAGCTGCTACAGTTCGTTTTTATGAGCACAGGAAAAAACTATTCTCAATTTCCTATTAACGTGGAATTATGTTTTCAGGAGTCTGTCCATGTGTTCATATTTCAGAGATACTATCAAAACAAGGTTTTGTTTGTTGACAGTTTTAGATACTTTTTAAAAGAACTAGTTAATAGCATGAACATATGGGAAAAGTCAGTCACGGACAATGGAAACACTTCACCTGTTTCTACATTCAGTTTTCTCAAGTCCTTCACATAGTTCCCTGCTGCGGAGTCATGTCACCTATAACCTTACCAGTAAAAGCGAGAGCAGAAGTATGTAAAAGAATTCACATTTGTATTTTGGGTTTAATTTCATGCTTTAATCCTGAAATATATTATTTCTGTCAGAGTCACATGGTTTAACTTTTCTGGCGCAGTCTCTCCAGCATTCGCGGTCCAAGCGTGTTGTGAGTGACCCAGGGCCAACAGCTACTACCCTGGGTAAGTTCTACTTGCTTCATTTCAGAGGCAGCATAAAACAGCCCTCTGAATGGTCTGAAGATAATAAGGGTTGTTTAGAAGGGCTATGGTAATTCTCTCTTTTCTTAATTTAATGGAACCAGTTTGTGATGTCTTGCTGACAAAGATAATTTGCCTTGCAAATTAACTCGACGCTCAATCCATACTTACAGGATTTGATTATAATGTAAGGAGCATAACAGGCACTCGTTCATGTAGGACTGATTTATTCCAGCCCAGATATAGATCAGTGATGATGATGATGATGATGATTATTATTTTATATATTTTATTGATTTTACAGAGAGGAAGGGAGAGAGATAGAGAGTTAGAAACATCGATGAGAGAGAAACATCGATCAGCTGCCCCCTGCACACCCCCTACTGGGGATGTGCCCGCAACCAAGGTACATGCCCTTGACTGGAATCGAACCTGGGACCTTTCAGTCCACAGGCCGACGCTCTATCCACTGAGCCAAACCGGTTACGGCGTGATTATTATTTATCTTCAGAGTATACATATGTATATATGATTGATTTTTATTTTAAGTAATAGGATGCATAAAAATAAGAAAGAGACCTTTCTAAGGACAGAAATACCCAGTCTTTAATTTCATATCTTCAAGATATTAAATTAATGGAAATTGTTGGACATGGGTGAAATCTGCCAGCATCTTTGATGCTTGGCTCACCCCTGTGGTAATTCCTGCACAATTTTGCTACTACATTGGGTGTATATAATATTTATATGGGTATACTATTTCATGCATCCATAGTAAACCTCAACTACTCAACTAAGTTAAAGCTTTAGTCAACTAAAATATTCCCTATACTTAAAATTATTTTTAATTAGTTCATCATAGAAAAATGTAGATAATCAAAATTTCCAACACCTGTCATTTTTATACCTACTTATTAAAATTTTAGAGTCTTTTTTCCCCAAGTTTTCCAGATGGGAGGGTGTGAATACAATTTTTTATTTTCCAGTAGTGGGATCCTACCATATGTATCTCTGTGTAGTGTTTTTCACTTAATATATGGCTGAACTTCTTTCTAGGTCAAATGTGTCCAGTATAACATGGGTTTAAGGATATGGGCTCTGACATGAGACTGTCGGAATATCAGTCCCACTGCCTCCTCTGTGTGGTGGGGAGGCATTATTTCTGTCGCACTGAATTGGTTAGGTGGGTCTTTCATGTACGGAGTTCACATGGCATAGCACCTGTGGGCCTGCCCCAGATGCTGATCTGCCTCCTGTAGGGGCCCTGAATGAAAATTCCCGCTAAAAGGAGCCTCTGGTGGGAATGTATGCTTTCCATTTGTGTTTCTTTCACTTTCATTGGAACAGGAAAAATACAAGGCATTTACATCGTGTTTAATCATTGCACAGCTTCCCATTATTATTTTAAGTAGCCCCAGATTGCTGGACAGTCATTATTTCCTGTTGTTCTGTATTACATCAGTGTTGGGATCAACTATGCATGTCTTTGAAAAGGAAAAAGTTGATGGTAAACAAAATGTGAGACTTTATTGGATTGTCATGTAAAAACAAAATTATTAGCCCGGCCGGCATGGCTCAGCAGTTGAGCATCGACTTATGAACCGGGAGGTCACGGTTCGATTCCCAGTCAGGGCACGTGCCCAGGTTGTGGGCTTGATCCCAATTGGGGGACATGCAGGAGGCAGCTGATCGATGATTCTCATCATTGATGTTTCTATCCCCCTCTCCCTTCCTCTCTGAAATCAATAAATAAATATTTTTAAAAAATTAAAAATGGAACTGCCTTATGACCTCATTATTCCACTTCTGGGAATTTATCCAAAAGAAACCCAAAACACTAATTTAAGAGAATATTTGTACTCCTATGTATTGCAGTGTTATTTACAATAACCAAGATATGGAAGCAGCTCAAGTGTCGATCAGTAGGTGAGTGGAAAAAAAGCTGTGGTACATTTACACAGTGGAATACTACTCTGCCATAAAAAGGAAGAAAACGTTACCCTTTGTGACAGCATGGATGGACCTGGAGCACATTATGCTAAGTGAAATAAACCAGTCAGAGAAAGGTGGCAAGTACCATATGATTTCACTCATATGTGGAATCTAATGAACAAAATGAACTAACAAGCAAAACTGAGACAGACTCATAGAGAGCAGACTGACTGCTTCAGGGTGAGGGGTGTGGGGCTAGGTGGTGGGTGTAGAGGGATTGAGCAAAACAAAAAGAAAAAACTCATGACATGGACAACAGGGTGATGATTGCTGCGGGAGTGGATGGAGAGGTGGGGAGATGGAGGAGGGTAAAGGGAATAAATGGTGATGGAAGGAGACTTGACTTGGGTGGTGAACACACACACACAGTGCACAGAGGATATGTTGTGGAATTGTGCACCTGAAACCTGTATAATTTTGTTAACCATAAATAAGTGCAATAAAAAGAAAAAAACCAACAAAATAGTCAAAGTTTTGTTTTGTTTTTCCACGTGAGTATACAGTTTTTCCCAGTGTACATTATTTTATATTTGTGGTGATTAATCTCCTATATAGATTTCTAAAAACAGGACTTCTGGGTTAAAGGATGATTTTATTAGAACACTAGAGGCCCGGTGCACAAATTTCATGCATGAGTGGGGTCCCTCGGCCTGGCTGGCGATTTGGGCCAATCAGGGGGGCCTGCCTGCCAGGGGGAGGGATTGTGGGAGGTTGGCTGGATGCTCCTCCCCCCCCCCCCATCAAGGGCAACGGGGGGGCCAGCTGGCTTGGGGGAGGGACTGTGGGAGGTTGGACCCAGCAGCAAGCTAACCCACAGCCAATTCCGTGAGGAATTGGGCTCCCTCCTCCCTCCTGTCTGAGTCTGGGGTGCAGGTGAACCAGATTTGTGGCTGTCAGGGCCCCAGCAGCAAGGTCTGGGTCAGTGTGCATCATAGCTACCGGCCGGTCATCCGGTCATCCCGGTTGTTTGGTCTTAACGGTCACTTAGGCATATATATATATAATTTCCAGGTGCTTGTGCATAGGTGCCATATCATCCTGGAGTCCCACTGTGAATCAAGGGAGATTGTGCCTATTTTTGCTCACAGCCTCACTAGCAGAGAGTATTCCAAGTCTTTGAGTTTTTTTCAGTCTGCAAATAAAATATAGTATCTTAGATTAGTTTCCATTTCTCCTATTATAAGTGCTACCTATGATTTTGTAAAAAGCCATGTACATTTATTGTGGTTAAATATGCTGTTGCAAAAGGTAAGATTTCCTTTTTTATGGCTGAGTAGTATTCCATTGTATAAGTATTCCATTGTATAAGTGTACCACAGCTTTTTTATCTCCTCACCTACTGATGGGCACTTGGGCTGCTTCCAAGATCTTGGCTATTATGAATAATGCTGCAGTGAACATACAGAATATGTTGATACACAATAACACTAAGTAAATGTTGGTTATTAGTATTATTAGTATTATTACTGCACTACGGGTTTATTTTACTTTTTCCTCAAGTACATATATTAGTAGTTTATACTATTAACTATTAGTTCGAATCCCATTCAGGTCACATAACATAGATTGCGGGTTTGATCCCTAGTCAGGGAGCATATGGGAGGAACTCGATGTTTCTCTTTCCCCCTTCCTCTTTTCTCTAAAATCAATAAAAACATCCTCAGGTGAGGATTTAAAAAAAAAAAAGTACTTCATTTTCTTCTGATCTCTGACTCTTTTTTTTTTTTTTAATATATTGATTTTTTACAGAGAGGAAGGGAGAGAGATAGAGAGTTAAAAACATCGATGAGAGAGAAACATCGATCAGCTGCCTCCTGCACATCCCCTACTGGGGAAGTGCCCACAACCCAGGTACATGCCCTTGACCGGAATCGAACCCGGGACCTTTCAGTCCGCAGGCCAGTGCTCTATCCACTGAGCCAAACCGGTTTTGGCTGATCTCTGACTCTTGATTATTCTTTTGTAAGTTCTTATTATGTCCTGTTGATTGACTTTTTAGAGTTTCTCTTTATCTTGATATTCTGTAGTTTATTTAAAATGTATTTAAGAGTAGATGTCTCAGTATTCATTTATTAACACTTGGAATTTTTCAATGACAGAATTCATGTTTAACCTGAATTTCTGAAAAGTATTAAATTTTAATGTTTGAAAGATTTTTTTCCCTACCTCTCTTCCTGAAACTATTAGCCATAATTAGTGTTTTTTAAATTATCCTTTTTAAGCTTCTTTTTTGAATTTTTAATTTCTCTGAACTGATTTCTGAGAAGTTTTCTTAATTTAATTCTTTAAATTTTCATTTTTCTCTTTGCTTCTAGTTCAGTATTTACTTCATCTTATGAGTTTTCAATTTTATGACTATTTCTTACTGCTTAGAATTTTACTGGTTCTTTTTATGTGTGCCTGTCTTTTCATATCCATCGGTTTTGTTTCATGTATACTATTTCTTCTTTTATCTCTTGGATATTTTCAATAGATTTATATAGGAGTCCTTTTCAGACTCCTGTTTTATCTCCATTTCCTTTGGTGTGACGCTCCACCTCCTTGCAGACCTTTGTGAGGTGCTGTTTTTTTTTTTTTTTATATTTATGATGGCATCGAACTAATTTGTGATTTCAGTGATCTGTGTTATTCAATAGGTGAAAGGTATACCTTGTCTTCTTTTAATCCTCACCTGAGGATATTTTTTCCATTGATTTTTAGATAGAGTGGAAGGGATGAGGAGAGGTAAAGAGAAACAACAATGTGAGAGAGACACATTGATTGGTTGCCTCCTGAATGCACCCTCACTGGGGTTGGGGCTCGAGCCTGAAACCCAGGTTTGTGCCCTTGACCAGAATCCAACCCGGGACCTTTCAGTCTGTGGGCTGACACTCTATCCACTAAGCCAAACTGGCCAGGGATATACCTTTTAATTTAATTTGTGTTTCTCTTATTGATACTTAGAGTAAATTTTTTCCCAGAATTGCTCGGTAATACTCTAATAAATGATTGCTGGGTTGAATTTCTTTTGTTTTTCTTTTCTTTGAAGTCACATCTTAATTTTTACCCAGCTTAATTATCCATATTCACTAAACAAATTTTGTCACTTGTCAAAAGTCAGATTTAGTCCTGGAGGATAAATATATTTGAAAGAGTCTTCTTCAGAAATTTGCCACTTCCTGGTTATTCAAATTCAGCTTGTTTTCTAATATGTTTTCTATCCACTATTCTATTAAGAAGTGAAATACACAATTATGACCTCAAACCATTGCTGAACTGAGTTATAATTGGTGTTCCAGTTGTTGCTATATAACAAACATGGTATTTAGTGATGTGAAACAACCATTTGATAATGCTCATGGATTCTGTGGTCAGGAATTCAGTATGGGCACAGGAGGAAGGCTTTAGCTCTGTTTCACAGTGTGTGGGACCTCGGCTGGGAAGACTCGAAGGCTGGTGGAAACGTAATGGTTCGATTCATTTGAAGATTTATTCAAGTCCTAAGTCTGGCAGTTGCTGCCGGCTTTTGCCTGGGACTTCAACTTGGGCTGTCAAATGAAATACCTGTAGTGGCCTTTTCATGTGGTTGCTTGGACTTTCCTCACAACTATGGCGGCTGGGTTTCAGAAGTAAGCATCCAGGAGAGCAAGTCGCAGTACATGACATTTTGTGACGTAGCTTTAGAAGTCACATAACGCCACTTCCATGTTGTTTACAAGCCCACCCAGGCTCATCAGAAAGGAATATAGAGCCCATCTCTCCATGGGAAGAAGTGTCAAAATCACATTTTAAGAAGAGCATGTGTGTTGGGAGACATGTTCTGGCCCTCTTTGGAAAGTAGAGTATGCCAAGTTATGACAGTAAATTATGTTTACTTCTTAGTAAGCCAGTGTAAAGGAGTTTTTAGAGAACCAAGATGGCGGCATAGGTTAACGCCGGAGTTTGCTGCCTTGAACAACTACTTCAAAAGTGAAACTAAAAAACAGAACGGACATCACCCAGAACCACAGGAACGCTGGCTGAGTGGAAGTCCTACAACTAGGAGGAAAGAGAAACGCATACGGACACTCAGAGGAGGCGCAGTGCTGAAGTCAAATTCTGAGGTGGGGAGTGCGCAGAGCGGGCTGGCGGCGGAGGGCGCGGTTGGCGTTTTCAATTGGGAGGGAGTCGCAGACTCTGAGCTCCAGATACAGGCGAGTCTTTAGGGACCCAGACTCAAACGGGAGAAGCGGGACTGTCTGGCTTCGGTCAGAGCGAGTGCAGCTTTCTCTCTGAGCTTTGCAGCGGGTGCTGGGACTCAGAGAGGCAGAGCCCCTGGGGACAGGACTGAGAGCCGCCATAACTGCTCTCTCCGGCCCACCCTGTTGATCCTGTGTGACCCGCCCCGCCCAAGCCCTGCACAGAGGCATTTGCCGGATAGCCTCAGGCAAGCTAGATTAGCACCTCCCTAGAGGACAGAAGTTCTCTCACTGCAGACACAGCTGATTCTCATAGCCACTTGGCCTGGAGGTCAAACCCTCCCTGGTATTAGCTACAACAATCAAGGTTTAACTATAAGACTGCACACAAAGACCACTAGGGGGTGCACCAAGGAAGCATAACAAAATGCGGAGACAAAGAAACAGGACAAAATTGTCAATGGAAGATATAGAGTTCAGAACCACACTTTTAAGGTCTCTCAAGAACTGTTTAGAAGCCGCCGATAAACTTAATGAGATCTACAAGAAAACTAATGAGACCCTCGATGTTATATTGGGGAACCAATTAGAAATTAAGCATACACAGACTGAAATAAAGAATATTATACAGACTCCCGACAGCAGACCAGAGGAGCGCAAGAATCAAGTCAATGATTTGAAATGCGAGGAAGCAAAAAACACCCAACCGGAAAAGCAAAACGAAAAAAGAATCCAAAAATGCGAGGATAGTGTAAGGAGCCTCTGGGACAGCTTCAAGCGTACCAACATCAGAATTATAGGGGTCCAGAAGATGAGAGAGAGCAAGATATTGAAAACCTATTTGAAGAAATAATGACAGAAAACTTCCCCCACCTGGTGAAAGAAATGGACTTACAGGTCCAAGAAGCGCGGAGAACCCCAAACAAAAGGAATCCAAAGAGGACCACACCAAGATACATCATAATTAAAATGCCAAGAGCAAAAGATAAAGAGAGAATCTTAAAAACAGCAAGAGAAAGAAACTCAGTTACCTACAAGGGAATACCCATACGACTGTCAGCTGATTTCTCAACAGAAACTTTGCAGGCCAGAAGGGAGTGGCAAGAAATATTCAAAGTGATGAATAGCAAGAACCTACAACCAAGATTACTTTATCCAGCAAAGCTATCATTCAGAATTGAAGGTCAGATAAAGAGCTTCACAGATAAGGAAAAGCTAAAGGAGTTCATCACCACCAAACCAGTATTATATGAAATGCTGAAAGGTATCCTTTAAGAACAGGAAGAGGAAGAAAAAGATAAAGATACAAATTATGAACAACAAATATGCATCTATCAACAAGTGAATCTAAGAATCAAGTGAATAAATAATCTGATGAACAGAATGAACTGGTGATTATAATAGAATCAGGGACATAGAAAGGGAGTGGACTGACCATTCTTGGGGGGGAAAAGGCGTGTGGGAGATTCGGGAAGAGACTGGACAAAAATCGTGCACCTATGGATGAGGACAGTGGGTGGGGAGTGAGGGCGGAGGGTGGGGCGGGAACTGGGAGGAGGGGAGTTATGGGGGGGGGGGAAGAGGAACAAATTTAATAATCTGAACAATAAAGATTTAATTCAAAAAAATAAAATTAAAAAAAGGAGTTTTTAAAGCATTTTCTAATAAGAAGGGTAAAACAAGATTTTTAAATTTAATTTTCTCAAGAGATTAACCAAAGGACTTGTATGCGTGCATATAAGCATAATCAATGGACACAGACAGTAGAAGGGTGAGGGCATGTGCTGGGGGTGGGAGTGGCCGGGGAGAGGTCAATGGGGGAAAAAGAAGATATATTTAAACAATAAACAATAAATTGTTTATTTTTTTAAAAATATATTTTATTGATTTTTTACAGAGAGGAAGGGAGAGGGATAGAGAGTTAGAAACATCGATGAGAGAGAGATGAGAGAGAAACATCGATCAGCTGCCTCCTGCACATCTCCCACTGGGGATGTGCCTGCAACCCAGGTACATGCCCTTGACCGGAATCGAACCTAGGACCTCTCAGTCCACAGGCCGACGCTCTATCCACTGAGCCAAACCGGTTTCGGCAACAATAAACAATAAATTGTTTAAACTTTAAACAATAAAGACTTTAAATTAAAAAAATTGAGTTCCCTCAAGTAAGATTTAATGTAAAACCCTATTCCATAATAATTTTATGCATTAAGATTTTATTATATTTTTAAAATATCCTTTTTGTCATTTCCTATTAACACCTTTTATCACTATTTTTATTTTTCAGATAAAACTATGAAATGTAAAGTGGCTTCCTTGCCTGGTTCACCTAAAAATATATCTGAAAAGAAACAGTGCATGTCTTTAAAAGATGTAAATAAGGTGGTGTTTTTAAATGTTCATTAAATATAAATTTCACATAATGTTAATTTTAGAATATTCTTTAAAATCTAGGAACCAAACATGTTTTCTGTTAAAAAATCTTTGGCTATGATAATTTCATTCATGAAGAATTATAGTTTGCATGTTTGCTCTATTTCAAAAGAACAAGAACTCCAGCCAGCTCTCACTTTGTTCTTGGCCTAGTGGCCTCTCTACAAAATGGGGTATTTATCCTCATTTTTAAAAAAAATATTTTTTTATTTATTTCACAGAAGAAGGGAGAGGGAGAGAGAGAGAGAAACATCAGTGATGAGAGAGACTCATTGATCACCCTCCTGCACACTCCACACTGGGAAATCAAGCCTGCAACCTGGGCATGTGCCCTGACTGGGAATCAATCTGTGATTTCCTGGTTCAAAGGTTGATGCTCAACCACTGAGCAACACTAGCTGGACTATCCTCGTTTTAAAAACGGTATGAAAATCTGGGATTATGGGATACTATAATAGTTAAATTCAAGACTAATCTGTCCTAGTCCCTTTGGCAATATAGGTGAAAGTTATTACAGGACATTTTAAATACTGAAATGTCAGCTCCTGCTATGTGGATATTTCAATATAGTGATTATAGCAATGATATAATCATTTTTTTGTCTCTATATCTGTGTTGCCTGAAAATTATCTAGGATGGTTGTTTATGAGAATTATTCCCATGGAATTTTCAGTGCATGGGATGATGCCCACAAACTGAGCCACACTGGCCAGGGCCTCATGGAATTTTGATTCATCCAGAATATATATTTTGCTAGCATATATATACTCTTTCTGAAAATAATGTGGTTTTTTTTTTTTAACAGTGTGTTGAATCTTCAGTGTGTTGGCCAACAAAAAGAGGCATAACCATACATGCTGATCCAGATATACCAGCAGACAGGTATGATTTGAAAATTAAGCGTAATTAACTAGAGACTTAAGTATAATATTGTCTTATATAGTGTATGAGATTGATGGTAAGAAAGTATTCATTTTCAAAAAAAGACTGGCCTTGGAAATTTTGGTTAAACATATTAATTTAAAAGAAAAATGTTATAACTGGTTAGCAGCACAGTTGACCGAAAACTGGTAGTGGATCTAGAGTCTCCTGTTACCTTGTCAGATAAAAGTTGTTTCCATAAAGCAGATTCAGTGAAGTTTCCTTAATGTAAAGGATGGACAAATGTGGGCCAGATGGCAGTACTGGTTGGTGGAAAGCAAAGGATGGTTTGTTTCTTCTTGAAGATGAGTAGCAAAGACTTTTGACTATAACCCTATCCTCACTCACATACGTCAGTGATAATAATGAAGTCATAGAAAGGATGTAATATACCACTTCATGGATAGTGTAAGACCTTAAAATAGTATGCTTCCATTTCTCTCCTCTTGGACTTTATGCAATGTTGTTATACACATTATACGTTTGTTATAAATGCTACACTCTATAGCAGTGATGGCGAACCTTTTGAGCTCGGCGTGTCAGCATTTTGAAAAACCCTAACTTAACTCTGGTGCCGTGTCACATATAGAAATTTTTTGATTTTTGCAACCATAGTAAAACAAAGACTTATATTTTTGATATTTATTTTATATATTTAAATGCCATTTAACAAAGAAAAATCAACCAAAAAAATGAGTTCGCGTGTCAGAGGTTCGCCATCACTGCTCTATAGTCATTTGTATTGAAAGTATCTTTCAGAGAGATTTAAATAAATAATAAAAAATAATCTTAAATATTTACCTAAGTAGTTACCATTAATGCTTTTGACTTTTTGTGGAGATCCAGATTTCTATCTGATATCATTTTCTCTCTACCTGAAGGACTTTCTTTACTATTTATTATATTGTTGGTCTGCTGGTAATGAAATCTTTTATCTTTTGTATGTCAGCAAAATTATTTTAGCTTCTTTTTTTAATAAATATATTTGCTAGGTATAGAATTCTAGGTTGACAATCCTTTCCCCCCTATTTTTTAAAGATGTTGCCCCACATTCTGGTTCCTCACATTGTTCCCAATGCAAAATATATTGTGATCCTTTTCCTATGACTGCTTTTAAAATTTTCTCCTTATTACTGGTTTGAGCAATTAAAAAAAATATATATATCCTGTAAAAAAAAAAAAAAAAATATATATATATATATATATATATATATATATATATATATACTAGAGGCCTGGTGCACAAAAATTTGTGCACTCAGGGGGAGGGGGGGGGGTCCCTCAGCCCGGCCTGTGCACTCTCGGAGTCTGGGACCCCTCGAGAGATAACGACCTGCTGGCTTAGGCCTGCTCCCGGGTGGCAGAGGGCAGGCCCAATCCCTAGGTGCAGCCCCTGGTCGGGCTCAGAGCAGGGCCGATTGGGGAGTTGGGGCGCCGCCCCCTGTCATGCACAGAGCAGGGCGGATCGGGAGGTTGCGATGCCACCCTCAGTCACGCTCAGGGTAGGGCCGATTGGGGGGTTGGGGCACTGCCCCCTGTCACACTCAAGGCAGGGTCAATGGGGAGGTTGCGGCGCCACCCCCTGTCACACACAGAGCAGGGCCAATCAGGGGGTTGGGGCGCTGCCCCCTGTCATGCACAGATCAGGGCCCATCAGGGGGGTTGGGGCTCCGTACCCTGTCACGCACAGAGCAGGGCCATCAGGGTTGGGGCGCTGCCCCCTGTCACGCACAGAGCAGGGCTGATCAGGTGGTTGAGGAGCTCCGCCCTGTCACACACAGAGCAGGGCGGATTAGGGGTTTGGGACGCTGCCCTCTATCACCCACAGAGCAGGGCGGATCAGGGGGTTGGGTTACCGCCACTGTCACACTCAGGGCAGGGCCGATGGGAAGGTTATGGCTCTACCCCATCACACAGCAGGGCCCATGGGGTGGGGGTTGGGGTGCCGCCCTCTCTCACCCACAGAGCAGGGCCGATCAGGGGGTTGGGGCGCTGCCCCCTGTCACACACAGAGCAGGGCCGATCAGGGGGTTGGGGCGCCTCACCCTGTCACACACAGAGCCGCAGGGCGATCAGGGGGTTGGGGCGCCTTCCCCTGTCACGAACAGAGCAGGGCGGATAGGGAGGTTGTGGCCCCGCCCCCTGTCACACACAGAGCCGCAGGGCGATCAGGGGGTTTGGGCGCTGCCCCCTGTCACGCTGATCCCGGTGCCGGAAGGCATATTACCCTTTTACTATATAGGATTGAGGCCTGGTGCACGGGTGGGGGCCGGCTGGTTTGGCCTGTAGGGTGTCCTGGATCAGGGTGGGGGTCCCCACTGGGGTGCCTGGCCCGCCTGGGTGAGGGGATGATGGCTGTTTGCAGCTGGTCACACACCCTTCAGGGTGGGGGTCCCCACTGGGGTGCCTGGCCAGTCTGGGTGAGGGGCTGAGGGCTGTTTTCAGGCTGGCGGGTGACTGAAGCTCCCAACCGCTCCTTTTTTTCTTTTCTTTTTTTTTTTATTCTGGGCCAGCTTTAGCTTTGAGGCTTGGCTCCAGCTCTTAGGCCTCCACTGCTGAAAGCAGGTTTCTGGCCTTTGTTTACCTTCTGTATTTGAAACAATGTTGTGATCCTGCTGGCTGAAGCCCTGGGGACTAAAGCAGGTTTCTGGGGTTTTGTTTAGCTTCTATATTTGTAACATAGTTGCTTAGAGTTGCAGCTCAGAGGCCGGCAGCGGCAGGCAGGGAACGTTGGAGTCCTCTGTCATTGAAGCAAGCAAGCCTCATGTTCGCTTTAAGCTGCCTGGCTGCCAGCCACCATCTTGGCTGGCAGTTAATTTGCATATTGCCCTGATTAGCCAATGGGAAGGGTAGCGGTCATATGCTAATTACCATGTTTCTCTTTTATTAGATAGGATATCCTATATAATAAGAGGTTAATATGCAAATTGACTGAATGATGCAACGATCTGCAGAACAACCGGTTGCTGTGATGCACACTGACCACCAAGGGGCAGATGCTCAATGCAGGAGCTGCCCCCTGATGCTCAGTGCGCTCCCACAGGGGGAGCACCGCTCAGCCAGAAGCCAGGCTCATGGCTGACGAGTGCAGTAGCAGTGGTGGAACCTCTCCCGCCTCTGCGACAGCACTAAGGATGTCCAACTGCTGGCTTAAGCCCATTCCCTGCCATCAGTTGGACATCCCCCGAGGGTTTCTGGACTGTGAGAGGGCACAGGCCAGCCTGAGGGACAACCCAATTGCTCAAATTTTGTGCACCAGGCCTCTAGTACATATATTTTTAATTGATTTCAGAGAGGAAAGGAGAAGGAGAGAGAAATAGAAATATCAATGATGAGAGAGAATCATTGATCAGCTGCCTCATTATATGCCCCACACTGGGGATCGAGCCCACAACCTGGGCATGTGCCCTGACCGGGAATCAAGTCATGACCTCCTGGTTCCTAGGTCGACGCTCAACCACTGAGCCACACAGGGTGGGCTGGTTTAAACAATTTAATTATTATATGCCTTGGTGTTTTTTCTATCATGTTTTTTGGGCTTGGTGTTCTTTATTTGTAGGTTTGTGTCTTTTATCAAATTTAGGGAGTATTCAGCAGCTGCTCTATAAGTATTTTTTTCTGCACCCATCTCTTTCTCCTCTCTTTTTGAGACTGATGAGACAAATATTGATATTGTGCAAAAGGTCCCTGAGGCTCTGTTCATTTTTTCTAAGATTTTTTGGTTGCTTAATAATTCTTCTAATTAATAATTCTTAATTGACTTTTTTTGTCATCTTCATTCTGCTATTGAGTCTACCCATGACATTTTTATTTTATGTTTTTTTTAGTTCTAAAATTTTCTCTTTTTTTAATAGTTTTTATTTATTTGCTGAGAACTTTTATTGTCCCATTCAAGAGTGCTCACCTTTCCGTTTCTTTTGAGCACGGTTATAACCACTGCGTCATAATTCCCACTTCTGCGCATTTAGAGGTTGGCACTTGTTGGTTATCTTTTCCCAGGACAAATGACCTGATTTTCCTGGTTCTTTGCATGTTGAGTAATTTTTTATTATATTCTGGAATTTTGAATATTATGATGTGAGGCTCTGGTTTCTGTTTAATCCTCTGTAGAATATTAATTTTGCTGTTGATCTTGTTCATTTGTTTTAGTGCGAAGTCAACCACTCCCTTAGGTTCAAACCTCAATTCTGTCTTTCTTTCTGTGGGTGGTGATTGCAATGTTGGCTCAATCTCCAAGTCTTTGGTTTGCTGCTTTGGGTCTGCTCTGAATATGCTCAACTTGGAGTGAGCTTGGGATGTGTTTTGGGTCATTAGCAATAATAGGGGATCCCCTCTCCCCTCTGGCTTTCTCTCTTTTTCCAGGATTTTTCTCACGTTCACTTTTTCCTTGTTGCTCCCTCTCCCTGTTCCTCTGACCAGGTGGATGATTTCTCTTGGAGAAACTGCCGGGTGGTTCTGTGTGATTGGGACCGCTTGTGGAGCCAAACAGCAAGAGAAACAAGAGAGAGAAAATAATGGCGCTTGTCCTCACACAGTCTTTAGACCTGTTTCCCAGTCCTCTAGTCCAGCGGTTCTCAACCTGTGGGTTGCGACCCCTTTGGGGTCGAACGACCCTTTCACAGGGGTTGCCTAAGACCATCGGAAAACACATATATAATGACATATGGTTTTTGTGATTAATCACTATGCTTTAATTATGTTCAATTTGTAACAATGAAAATATATCCTGCATATCAGATATTTACATGACGATTCATAACAGTAGCACAATTACAGTTATGAAGTAGCAACAAAAATACTTTTATGGTTGGGGCTCACCACAACGTGAGGAACTGTATTAAAGGGTCGCGGCATTAGGAAGGTTGAGAACCACTGCTCTAGAGGGAGGGGGAGGTTTTCTCTCAGGATTCCGGTGACCACACTGCTGTTGCCATTGCATCATGCAGCTCGATGGATCAGCGCTGGTCTTGGGCAGGCCAAGGAGAGAAAAAGAGGGAAAGTCAGTTGGGATTCCCAGCTTCTTGAAGGCTCCTCTTCCCCATTCTTTGGCTTGAGGTTTCTCTTGAGATTTTTATGTCTATATCCTCTACACCGTCCCAGGTCATCCTCAGTTTAACACCAAGCTATAGTGGAAGGTAAAAATCTAGGAAACTCTCCATGATTGTGGTTGTTTTTTCACATTTTGACGTCTCACCCCTATCGTTTTGTACTTTATCCAGAGTTCCTAGTGGTGGTCAGCAGGAGAGGGGCTGTGGTGGGCTTACTCCCTCTTGGCAGGCACCAGAACTGTCAAATGGTGTTTATACTTGAGGGGCTCAGCTCCAGTTCCCATGTAAATTTACCTACATAGATCAACTTGTTCCTCTGTGGTACTTTTTAAACTTTCTCCCAGGAAATAAAGATATTTTCAGGATTGGGTTTATAAATTTTAATAAATGTTTTTTTTTTATTTCTAGTGCTTTACGTCAGAAGTCAAATGAGAAACCACTCAGATTGGCTGAGAAGAAAGAATACAATGAGAAGAATGGCTGTGTAAAGTATGAATTTTTTTCTTTGCCTAAATTTTATATTGAAATAATTACGATAAAATTATAAGCAGAAGAATTTACATATGATTTTATTATAAATTTCAAATCTTTGTTTCCATTTAAAAATATACATACAATGGCTTCTTTAGGCTTTGAAGTCAGTTTTTTCTTTTACATAACGTATATTTTTCTGTTTAAAGTTCTCTTCCACTATAAATATACATTTCCTATCTCACCGTCTTGATTTTCTTTGGTGAAGTGAACAAAATAAATTAGATATAGTTGATCTTTTGGGGCTGTTGATTTTATATAGGTTGGTGTTTGCTTTCTTTCCAGTTTTGTTATGTTAAATAGGTTTATCACTGGCTCGAGAAACTGTTTAATTATTTGCAGTGTGGAACTGGGGATCTTTTTTCCTTTGTCCTGCCAGAGTCACAAAGTATTTACTTACAAGTTGTTCACAGTAGAGTAATAACTTCATTTTACACTTGTTTAATGCACAAAATATTTTCATACTTTCTTTTAAGACTTCTTATGACACCAGCCTAAAAACACTCTCACAGCCCTGGCCAGTGTGGCTTAGTTGGTTGGCGAGTATCCTGTACACCTAAAGATCACAGATTTGATTCCCAGTCAGGGCACATTCCCAGGTTGTGGGTTCTATCCCCAGTCGGGATCCATGTGGGAGGCAACCAGTCTATATTGATGTTTCTCTCTTTCCCTCCGTCCCTCTCTAAAATCAATGGAAAAAATAAAATAAAACCACTTTTACATTTCAAGTACTGCAGCTGCTCTGAAGCTAACAGAGTGACAAAGTTTAAGACAGTTCAGAAATGGGTACAGGTCACGCTGTTCTCTAAATAGCTTTAGATGACTGGGGCGAGGTGTTGACTGTGGAAGTCCTTCAGGCTCCCAGCTTCCCAGAAGCCACCCTGTGGGGTGTGCGTCCTCATCCAGCAGAAGCTACGCAGGGTGTTTCAAGGCCAGGAGCTCCGAGGCAGCCATGGAGCCCGCAGATCTGGAGTGACACCTGGGTTGACATTCGCCTCCCTAACACCTGAAAGCTGTGGTGTCACAGTGGGCGCTTTCCGTGGAACAAAAGACCTTGCGTTGCCCATGTAACTCATTTCTTTCTCTTGTACTGCTTAGCAAAGGAGCTCTGAGACAGCTCCATCGCCTGGTACTTTTGTATTAGAAGGTTGTATCTGACCTCCTGTTTGGCTGAGTGTCCTTTACTTAGAACCACTGATTGTACTTCATCCGTCCACTGTGGGTTCCAGGGACTTGGACGTGTTCAGGATTCAACAGCAAAGAAGGAAGGAGACGGTGGATAGTTTAGAACTGTGATGACCTGGGGATCATGCAGCCTTTCTCCTTGTTCACAGCAGGTGGCCTGGGATTGACAGTTCTGTGTCCACAGCCTGAGGCCCAGGGTGGGGCTGGGGGAAGCCTGCGACTGCCTTGACCACAGTGGCCTTTGTACCACAGTGAACAGGCAAAGCAGAACAAGAAGAATTAAAATAATAACTCACTGGCTCGAGAAACTTTTTAATTATTTGCAGTGTGGAACTGGGGATCTGCCCAAGAAGAATTAAAATAATAACTCAAGAAAAAGACACAATTTTTTCCCTTCAAATTGTTTTTTTAACTATTTTACAGATTATTGCAGTTTTTAAATCCTGATCCTTTGAGAGCTGATGGAATCTCTGATCTGCAACAGGTATTACAACTCTTAAAAAAAGTGAAAAAAGAAAGAAAACTACTTTTTAAATCCCTCTCCTTCCTCCCTCTATACTTGAGATTAGAAGAGAAACCCCTTCAGTTGGAGACTTTATCTGAAGACATCCTTTTAGAAATTGTCTAGTGAGATAATTAGAGAAATAGTTCTTCTTGGGAGGGGGGATACTAGAAGATCTTCCTTTCGTTTTGGTAGTTTTGATGTTTTTTGATAGGCATATACGCCTAGGTTTTTACATTGAAATCAAACTCTTGTCTTTTCTCATGTCCATAAAGTTCTTGGTGTCCTGTGCTGACACCGCAGGCAGACTGACGTGTGTGTCCTCTAGTTGCAGAAGCTGAAGGCGGGTGCACAGCAGGCCTCTGCGGTGCTCCGGAACAAGATTGAGCCTTGCTTGTCCATCGACACGGCGCCGCTTTCGGCAGACCTGAAAAAGGTAAAAGTGCTCCTGAAACCAAACTCGAGGAGGAGTACTGACCTGCCCAAAGGTGGAAGGATTTTTAATAAAAGCTTCTACTGAACTTACGTTTGTATAATTTCTTTGCTTTTGAAATTCTCCTATAAGCCTCTGTTACTAATTTCTTATTTATTCTTAAGTCCGGGCTAACTTCTTACAAGTGACTAATTCTTTTATGGAGAAACCATGTGTAACTGTAAGTGCTTTTCTGAAATAAGTTCTCAAAAGTGCCTGTAGAAAGGACTTGGAAGAAATGAGTTGCCAGGACAGTTACGATATACATCTTAGCAAAATTGCTTTATAGACCTTTGTTTTACGTAGTAAATTGATCATACATGTTTACTTTTTTGATAAAAAAAACAAAAAAGTTTTAAAATATATATTTTTAAAATATATTTTATTGATTATTTACAGAGAGGAAGGGAGAGGGATAGAGAGTTAGAAACATCCATCAGCTGCCTCCTGCACACCCCCCACTGGGGATGTTCCCGAAACCAAGGTACATGCCCCTGACTGGAATCGAACCTGGGACCTTTCAGTCAACAGGCCGACGCCCTATCCACGGAGCCAAACCGGTCAGGGCTAAAATATTTTTTTTAAAGAATAAAATCCCAAGGGCTACTAGAATGAGAGCGAAGTCTTTAGTGGACAAGAGCTTTCCACAGGCTCCGGGCTGCAGAGTGTGGCCGACACCCTGAGGGAGGAGTGAAGTGGGTGGGGGTCGTGAACTTCCCCACCCTGTTTCCTAAACACCCAGAGCCAGTTGCTCAGGAAGGAGAAGGAAGAAACTGAATGGCCCTAGAGAATGACCTTTAGATGGTGCCGTTTGAGATTCTCCCACTAAAAACATCTGCTTGCTGCCCGGTGTTCCGCGGTGATGGGGCTCGCACATGGCGCTGAGCTTTGCTCCGCCCTCAGATGAGCGTCAGGGATGGTTAGGTGTTTGAGGAAAGCCCTCACCCAAGGGAAAAAAGTAAGACCCAAGCAAACAGATGTAAATAAACGGTGTAGAGAATAGAAGAAAACATTAGAAAATAAATATCCTTAGAAATAAGGTATATATTGTATGTATTTGACAATAACAGGGCACTATAGAAAAGGAACAGAGAATAAAAAATAGGTTATTAGAAATTCATACTGTTGTAGAAATAAAAATCAATAGTTGATTTGAGAGATAAAAGCTAATAATCAGAAAGTAGAACAAAAGACTAACGGATGGAAATAGGGAGGAAAAGAGAAATTGAGTGCCAACTTGAGGTCCAATATCTGAAATGGAATTTCCAGAAAGAAAGGGGGAAGAGGGCAGACAGTTCTAACAGTAACACATGAATAGTTTCTAGACTCAATGGATATGACTTCCTGATTTAAGAGGGAGTTTACCTACCACAGGCCCAGCCCAACGGAGGAACAAGATAGTAGATGTTGTTGCGAAGCATCTAAACTGGAGGGATTCAGAGACCGTGAAGGATTCCAGGGAGAAGAATCTGGTCCCACACGCAGGATAGGAATCGGAATGGCTGCAGACTTCACGTAACAGCCGAGGAGCACTGACTCCAAAGTTCTAATAAGTTATTTCTAACCTAGAGGTCTATCAACGAAGTGTGAGGGGGAATGAAGACATTTTCAGATGTGCAAAGCCTCACTGCACCCTTTGTCAAGAAGCAACTGAAATATGTTCACCAACACAAGAAAGTAAAGAAGACAGCGTGTGTTGCAGACAAGAGGGGGATGGAGCAGGGAGACCCCAGGATGGCAGCTGTGCACAAGGTGCAGAGTGGAGTCAGCCCTGATTTCTGTGGGCTCAGGGCCTGGGAGCAGGACTTCATGGAGATAACTGATGAGATCAGCCTTTTGGAAAATAGTGTCAATGTGGCTGGAGAACTCGGGACATTTGGGAGGTTTTAGTAACAGTCATATAGAAAATAAGCAAATAAAGGCATGTTTTTAAAAAGATTGACAAGTGAGGTTGATGCACCGGCAGATTTAGACAAGAAGCCATGTCCTTGTGCTGGAGAGCGTTAAGCACCTGGGCGGTCAGTTGGATCCTTTAATTTGGAGCCTAGAAAAGCAAGAATCTTCTAGCAGGACTTTGGTGCTAGAAAAGATTCAGTGGAAAATGCCAGAATGAGCAACGTATACATGTTGGGGTAAATGCGCAATTAGATGGGTTTTCATTAGTTTATTGTGGTTTTTGGTTATTGATGTTTTGTAGGCTCTTCAAAGAAATAAGTTTCTGGGACCTAGCCACACTGCATCTTACTCCTGGCCTCCCATAGCGCGCGGCTGTGACGTGGTTGTCATTTCTCAGTGTGGAAATGACCCTTTGTTGTACCTTCCACCAGTGCTTACGCTTTTGCAAACAGGGGGCTGCTACAAGTCATTACCAAGTAGAAACGGAGTAAGTTGACAATTTTGTTTCACAACAAAATAGATTAAATATTTCTTTTCAAATTTACACCTAACTTTAGTAAAATTTAGGTTACATTATTCATTTGGTGTTCAAACTGTCAGGACAGAAACTGTCCCATGAGAAACTTTTATCTGATCACAGTCATCTCACACTATTATCACCTTTGACCTCCCAGTTGTGGGCAATCCGCTGAGTCGAGAGAGTCCAGCTTTTAGAGACAAATAGATAGTTTATAAAAAGTATTTCACTGATTATCTAGTTGGCCTGGCTACCCTGTGAGATGGTCAGACCATGTGTTCTTTTCACCAGTATTAGAGATGAGAAAATTAAATTAATGGGAAGTTACTGGTTTAAATTCTTAACAGCTGGCAAGTGTGACAAGAAGTGAGCTTAGAATGTAGGTTTTCTGTCATCGTCTCATATTCTTTCAAATATTTTCATAGCACCCCCACACTTTTATGAACCTACTTTGTTTTTCCCATGTGTCAGAATCTGAAGATAGCTGAGAAAAATGATGGCGAGGAGAGAAATGGGGTGTGAGGATCAGATATTTGATAGTGGGGAAGTGACATCTGCTTTGCTGGGTGTGGCCTTTGTCTCAGATCCTATCCCAAAGGACACCCTGCAAATTGTTCTGCCCCTCATTACAAGGTGAGAAATAGCAGTACAAAAAGACACTTGGACTTGCGTTTTAGAAAAGATGACAGTTTATTTTTCAAATTATGCTAGGTGGTGTAATGATTTTCCTTTGAAATCTGCATTGGCTAAGTTATTATGTATTGATTTAATAAAACTAAATGGATACATTTATATCCATCAGTCAGTCAGTAGCTGACCGCATTGATGAGATGCAGCTTGTGTGGAAATAGAACCCTGGCTGGGCCAGGAGGGGTGTCCAGGTGTTGTCTCTTGTGTCCAATCTGCTGCCTCTGCATGTCCATGGTCAGCTTGCTTTTAGGCTGACACCTGGAAGCTGGCGCTCCCCGGGATCTGTGTGAAGGAAAGCCGTCTCATCTTGTCTTCAGTTAGGTGCGGGCAGGTGTGCAGGAAGGTGTTCGGCAGGCTGTGCGCCTTCGGGGGATATCTGTGGCAGAGTGGAGGGCAGGGTTCAGATGGTGCTACGGGAAACTCAGTCACCTGAGAAAGAGATGTTAACCTTTTTAAAGGTCCCTTTCAGGAAGCGGTTAGTTCACCCTTAAGCTGAGGAGCAGGAGCTGTAGAGCCAGGTTGCCTGGCTTCAGATCTTGTTGCTACCATGTGTCAGCTGTGCAGCCTTGGGCAACTGACTTCCCCTCTCTGTGCCACAGACGCTGCCTCTGTGAAATGACGTAGCGATAGGTTCTGTCCTGTAGGAGTGTTTTAAGGACTAAGGGGATTAATACTTGTAAAGTGCTTAGTTTAAGCCCTAGCAAAGTCTGAGCCAATGTGTCTCAATCCTTTTTGATGAAATTACAGTTTAACTTTTCTGACCTATGTGATGATGATAAAAATTTATATAGTGCTTACTCTGGACAAAGTGTCTACATGCTTCACAGATAATGTGTCTGATTCCTAACTTTTGTCCACAATTATGTGGATTTGTTTGTCTTTGCAGCCTCTGGCAGTCATCCTGTGTCCTGGGTGGAAAAAGGCCCAATTTATTTTTGAGTTATTGGGAGACTATGGCGTGTCCTCCAGGCCTCTTCATCCTATGTTATTAACAATTGGACTCCACAAAGATGAAGCCAAAAATATGAAGCTTCCAAGGGGCTGTAAGCATCCTTCCCAGCTGTTTGGTTTTCCCTACTGAACACAGTGGGATCCTGCCCAGCAGGCCGGGAGCTGCAGGTGTCAGGGAGCTGAGAGATGCAGCTGATGGTCACTAGCTCAGACCGCCCCTGCCAGTTCCGATGGGTATAGATGATGAAGGTTTATCTTGGCTTATCTCTGTGAGAAAAAGAGAAAACTGTGATTTCATTCATTTATGACCTACCTGCTGACGCCTCCTGTTCGTTAGATGTTGACTAAACGCTCCCTGTCTTTTAGTTGTGCAGAACGTGATGGGAGCCCAGGTAGTTAATCCCAAAATGAGCAGGGTTAGCTGGGCAGGTAAACTTCTTGCCTCACCCGCCTGAGTAAGAAAAACAGCTTTTTGTTTTGTTAGAAGGCATCTCTAGAAAGTATGTGGAATCTTAGGAAAGGAAATGTTAGAAAAACCTGTGGAAAATCTAAAATGTTAATTTTTTTTCTTTTAAAATATAGGTGATATAATGGTTACAACACCACATAGCCTCCTGAGACTTCTCAGATACCAAAGCTTGTTATTTCTTAGACTCTGTCACCTCATTTTGGATGAGGTGGAAGTGTTATTCTTTGAAGCTAATGAACAAGTAAGTAAGGCATCCATTTAGATAGCATTACTACTCAAATATATAAAATTAAAGTGTTCATTGTTTTTAGGGTTCAAGAAGAGTGTCTATTTGTGGTAGAAGCTGGTTAATTTAAAATTTTTTCTCTTTAATTTCTATGATTAAGGAGAGAGAATTTTTTTTTCTGAAATTTTTCTTACCAGTGTTCTATTTGAAAAGCAAAACTATGGAGGTTTTTGAAATTATTTAAAATTTTTCTGATTATAAAAGCAATTTTTATATTAGAAATTTGGGGAATAGAGGAGAGCACTTGAAAACATCCATAATCTTACACTCAGGAAATCACTATCACTATTCTGGGGTAGTTCTTTCTTTTTTGTAATTCCTTGTCATAGGAATTAATAATATCAGTATCTTTCTGTGGTAGTTTATAAGTTGCATTTTTTAGTAAATAGCATTGTATTGTTGCTATTCTACAGTGTGATTGTTACTTGCCATATGATATTGAATTCTATGGACATAACTTAATTTATTTTATAATTGTCTTATTTTTAGATATTTAACATTGTGTGAGTATGTGTGTGTGTGTGTGGCTTCAGAACATGATACATTTTTTTAGCACATTTCCCATAGGGTAAATTCCTACAAAGGGGATTAACGGATCAAAGACTGAATTCTTATAAGACGTTTGTTGGAAGCAGTGTAACATGATGACCAAGAGCAGTGGTTTGGGAGCAGTGATGGCCTCAGGTTCAAGTCCAAGCTTTAGATACTGAGTCTGTTGGTCTGCGCAGCGTTTCTGAATGCCTCTAGAATCTCAATTCTTATTTGCAAAACTAGTATCCAGAAGACTGCCTTGTACAGTTGCCTTTCTGGAAGCAATTTACACCCCCTTAGGCAATGTGCCGCCACGCTGCCCTCCCTGCACCCCTGGCAGTGGGAGGCCTCAGCCCAGCTTTCTTTTCTAGTCTGATTTGTAACATGGCTTCTGATTAGTTCAATCTGTATTTCCTTATTTACTTGTTAAGTTGAGCATGAATTCATACTGGTCATTTGTACTCATTCTTCAGTGAATTGCTTATTTATTATTTTCTGTTGGTGGGATTGTCTTTTTTAATCAGTTTGTATAAGTTTTTGTGTAAGGGTGTTAATCCTTTGGTACATATGTTACACGTATTTACCTGGATGTTAATGTTTTAATTTTGTTTGCACCTAGCATTTTTTCCTTTTTTGTTACTTTTATGTTTGTAAAGGCCTTCTCCACTCTGAAAACAGAAAATATACAATCCTTTACCTTTTAAGTTTTATCAAACTAATCTCTTTTGAAATAAAAATTAAATTATACTAATTTTTTAGATGTTTGCTATATTAGATAACTTTAAAAAAAATATTGACGTTGAAGAAAGGGAATCTGCACCACATCAAATTGTTGCAGTTGGAGTTCATTGGAACAGACATATACAGCATTTAATCAAAGAGTTCATGAATGACCCCTACATCGTGATCACTGCCATGGAAGAGGCTGCTCTCTACGGCGGTGTCCAACAGGTAATGAGTCTTGGGGGCGTGGTGGGGTGCTAATGAATGTGTCATGACTTAATATTAAAAGACTAGAGTCCCGGTGCACAAAATTCGTGCACGGGTAGGGTCCCTAGGCCTGGCTGGCAATCAGGACAGATTGGGGCCTTCCTTCCCCCGGCTGCCAGCCAGAGCCTTCCTTCGTTCCATCCCGCCCCCTGGTGGTCAGTGCACGCCATAGCGAGCTTTTGAACTCCCGGTAGGTCGAACTCCTGAGGGGACAATTTGCATATTAGCCTTTTATTATATAGGATTATAGCTTTAATATCATCAGCAAATCTGTAATTGGGAAGTTAAATTTATATGGGTTTCCTACACATCCTTTTGTATTAAAATCATAACTTGCCTAAGTAAAGTAAAACTGGAGCACCTTAAACATTTAAAAAATCACATTGTTTCTGTATTTCCTTACTAGGTGGTACATCTTTGCCTAGAAAGTGAAAAAACCTCTACTTTACTCCAGACTCTTGACTTCATTCCAAGTCAGGCACAGAAGACCTTGATCTTCACCTGTTCTGTAGGTGAAACTGAAATAGTGTGTAAGGTGAGCCCTAACCCCTTCTGAACACATAAAATGTTCTTGCTGTTTGTTTAAACTGTGATTGGATCTCGAGTCATCAGAATTATTGAGTAAATATTTGACGGGAATGAAAGTTTACAAGTGCAGCATCCATCAGAATGGGTTCTGCTGCAAAATGAAAAAGGGTGGCAGGCCCGGTGGAGCGGCTGAGGCCATCATTGGATTTGAAATATTTAAAGTGGATATAAAACTGTTTCAGCAATGCAGACAATTAAGGGCATTGTTGTGGGTGATGGTGCTGTTGGTAAAACATGTCTTCTGATATCCTACACAACAAACACATTTCCATCTGAGTATGTACCCACTGTTTTTGACAACTATGCAGTCACAGTTATGATTGGTGGAGAGCCATATACTCGGACTTTTTGATACTGCAGGGCAAGAGGATTGCGACAGATTGTGAACGCTGAGTTATCCGCGAACAGATGTATTTCTAGTCTGTTTTCCAGCGGTCTCTCCATCCTCATTCGAAAATGTGAACGAAAAGTGGGTGCCTGGGATAACTCACCACTGTCCAAAGACTCCTTTCTTGCTTATTGGGACCCAAATTGATCTCAGAGATGACCCCTCTCCGACTGAGAAACTTGCCAAGAACAAACAGAAACCTATCACTCCAGAGACTGCTGAAAAGCTGGCCCGTGACCTGAAGGCTGTCAAGTATGTGGAGTGTTCTGCACTCACACAGAAAGGCCTAAAGAATGTATTTGACGAAGCAGTATCGGCTGCCCTGGAGCCTCCAGAACCGAAGAAGAGCCGCAGGTGTGTGCTGCTATGAACATCTCTCCAGAGCCCTTTCTGCACAGCTGGTTTCGGCATCATACTAAAAGCAATGTTTAAATCAAACTAAAGGTTAAAAATTAAAATTCGTTTTTGCAGTAATGACAAATGCCCTGCACCTACCCACATGCACTCGTGTGAAACAGGCCCACAGATACGGTCCCTTTCCCCCTAAAAAACTGGTTAATTTTGAGTAATTGTGTATTGTCAGAAAAGTGATCAGTACTAGTTTTTGTTTTGTTTTTTTGTTTTGTTTAAAAGCAAGGCATGCTTATGATGACTCTGTAACAGACTAATTCGGGTTGTTGAAGCTGCTCCCGGCTTCCACTCTGGAGAGTGGTCTGAGACATCTAGTTGTTGTTTTTTTGTTTGTTTGGGGTTTTTTTTTTTTTGCGGTGGGAGGAGAGGGGTGTGTGTGTGGAGTTCGTTTTTATTTAGTAATTTTAAAAAAATTCATTAACCATTGGACAGCTCTTCAGGTGAGGAGGATGGAGTGTTTCCACATTCTACTTCCTAGATCTAGTTTAGAAAACATGTTCCCCACCGGTGCTCTTAGGAAGGAGTATAGTAAACGCCTCATTTAATAACATATTCCTTTTTGAAAGTTGCCTTTTCTCTCCCCCCTTGAGTAGGTTCAGTATTTGATGAAACTCATGAAAGTGGGTGGAACCTGTCTTGCCCCTCCTCTTTTCTAGGATGCACTATATACGTGACTGACTTTCAAGGAAATTTGTTAGCCGTTTGCTGATTTTATTTTTGAAGTTAATGTTAATGCCTAACTTCTTTCACTGATAAATGAAGAAAATATTGCGTGTGTGTGTGTGTGTGTGTGTGTGTGTGTTTGTGTGTGTGTTCCCTTGACCAGAATCGAACCTGGGATCCTTCAGTCTGCAGGCCGACGCTCTATCCACTGAGACAAACCAGTCAGGGCAATATTGCACCTTTTGAAATATACCAAATGGATTAAGTACATAATTAAAAAAATTTTTTTCCTTGTCAGTCATTGTTTTATATGCTTAGCATAGATGTGCAGCTTAATAGTGTATGGTATGGTGTTCCTAGAACACCGCCGAAGACCTGGTATATATGAGGGGTGCTAGAAGACAGATGTCTGTGGAATGATTCACATCCTCTTCAAGTTATGAGGATGGAGACCCGCTTCATTAAGAAGCTAGGGGTGGGGTGGAGGTGGGGAGAACATTTAACAGCATGGGGACCAGTCAGGGGAATCCCCTTCTTTCTGTTTTGCATGAGGAACCCTAGAGCAGCCAGTTGAGGCTCTAGTTTAATCAAAACCATGGAGAGAGTCTTATGAAGACTCTTCATAAGTGTTAATAGGGATTTTATCAGCTTATTTTGGTTGCAGTTCCCAACATTGTTAAACATGTTTGGGTAATATTCTCCACCCTCCCCAAATCCTAATTTTTGTAGTTTCATTAGTGTTGAACCAATGCTTTCTCGTGTCTCAATTCTTTGTATATGCATTCTTTTCAGATGTATTAAACAAACAAAAAAACCCTTCAAAAAAAAAAAAAAGAAAGAAAAAGGAAAAGGGTGGCAGGAGGCCTGCGCTGAGGGGAGGGGCCGAGTAGGTGGGGCGGCCTTTCCTCTGAGGCAAACCTTGGGCGGGGGGTGGGGAGGGGAGGGCTTTCTATTTTGTCTCGGCAGAGTATTCGAAGGATCCGATTCATGAATTGGCTAAAGATTTATTTAATCTAATTGTGTATAAATTAACGCTAAAATGTAGAAATGAGGCTGAATACAAAATAAAATAATCAGTAGTACATTACATTTGAGCAATAATGAACTAGCAGGTGATGTTGAAAAGCTCCCGGTGAGCCTGGCCAGTGTGGCTCAGGGTTGAGCATCCACCTATGAACGAGGAGGTCATGATGCGAGTGAGCGTTGCAGGCTTGATCCCAGTGGGGGGTCATGTGGGGGAGAAGGGGCCAGCTGATCAGTGATTCTCTGTCATCATTGCTGTTTCTGTCTTTTTCTCTCCCTTCCTCTCTGAAATCAGTCTATAATAATAAAAGTGTAATATGCTAATTAGACTGGACGTCCTTCCAGACGACCTTCTGGATGAAGCCAGGACTTCAAGGGAAGCCTGGGTCCCGGGTGCCAGAGGGAAGCTGGTGCTGGCAGCCGGGGGAAGGAAGGCCTACTCTTGCATGAATTTCATGCATTGGGCCTCTAATAAAAATATATATTTTTAAAAAAGCTCCTGTTGGTAATAGTGCCATAAATTTGGTGTATACATATAGATATACAGTTAACTCTCAACACAGCCCAAAACACCAAACCGGTTTGAACTGCATGGGTCAACTTACAAATGTTGTTTTTTCTTTTTAAATTTATCTTTATTGTTGAAAGTATTACAGATGGTCCCTTTGTTTTTGTTTTTCTTTTCCCATTGCCTCCGCCTCTCCCAGGCCTTCACTACACTCTTCTCTGTGTCCATGGGTTATGCATATATGCATATAAGTTCCTGGTTAATCCCTCCCCACCCACCCTCCCAGCCCCACCTTCGCTCTGAAATTCGTCAGTCTGTTCCATGCTTCTATGTCTGGGTCTATTTTGGTCATCAGTTTATTTTGTTCATTAGATTCCATATATGAGTGAGATCATGTGATACTTATCTTTCTCTGACTGGCTTATTTAGTTTAGCATAATACTCTCCAGGTCCATCCATGTTGTTGTAAATGGTAAGTTTTTTCATTTTTACAGCCGAGTTGTATTCCATTGTGTAAATGTACCATAGTTTTTGTCCACTCATCTGCTGATGGGCACTTAGGCTGTTTCCAAATCTTAGCTGTCAGAATGGCTACCATCAACAACTCCAAGAAATGACAAAGTGCTGACGAGGGTGTGGAGAAAAATGAATCCTAGTACATTGCTGGTGGGAATGCAGACTGGTGCAGCCATTATAGGAAAAAGTATGGCGTTTCCTCAAAAAATTAAATATGGAACTGCCATTTGACCCAGTGATCCCACTTCTAGGAATATATTCTAAGAAACCTGAAATGCCAGATTAAAAATGGTGGCAGAGGAGGAGGATGCTGCATGGACATGCTCCCAGGAGCAAACTGGAATTACAACTGAAATATGGAAAGGCTTCCTGAATAATTAATGGAAAACTCACAGGAGAGAACCCTGATACCCAAGGACCGAAGGTGGAGACCGCATAGAGACTGATAGGAGGGGCGGAGGCGCCAAAGGGCTGGCCGGGCACCCACAAATGGCAACTGAAGTCCTGGAGAGATATCTCAGCTGTGGGGAGGAGGGGTGGTTGTACCACTGAGAACTCTGGGACCTATTCCCAAAGCTGGGCTCCCCAACAGAGAGCACCAAAATGAGAAGGGTACCCACATAGCATCTAGCTGTGAAAAGCAGTGGGGTGCTGTCTACCAGGGAATGGCAGCTGAAAGTTCGGGCACCCTCTTAAAGGGCCAATGCACAAAAATTCCCTGTGGAGTCACCCACCTTGTGCTCTGGCAGAGGGAGGGTAAAGTGGACTGGAGCTGTGAGAGCAAAACCCAGGACTGGGGACTCGGGGGATAGAGCTCAGAAGGCAGACACCCCAAGTTTCCTGGGCTGAGTCATTCCCTTACACAGTGGAGGACATCTTTCCCACATAGACATCTGCCTTGTGGGGGGGGTAAGGGGAGGGGGAAAGGAGGGAAGACAGTCAGACAGTTAACACACCCTATTGGAAAACACCTTGCCCTGAGGCCACTTAAGAGATTAAAAGTAACAATTAGCCTCCAGGCAGAAGCAGCTGCCCCACACTGTTGAGAATACTCTTCGCCACACCTGAGGACGATTACCTGGGGGCAATTCAAGTCTGAATCTTATTAGTCTCTAGAGTCTAGACCAGTGCTTCTCAACCTTCCTAATGCCATTATGTTCGTTGCTACTTCATAACTGTAATTTTGCTACTGTTATGATCATAATGTAAATACCTGATATGCAGGATGTATTTTCATTGTTACAAATTGAACATAATTAAAGCATAGTGATTAATCACAAAAACAATATGTAATTATATATGTGTTTTCCAATGGTCTTAGGCGACCCCTGTGAAAGGGTCATTCGACCCCCAAAGGAGTCGAGACCCACAGGTTGAATACCACTGCTCTAGACCAGTGGTTCTCAACCTTGGCTGCACATTAGAATCACCTGGGAATCTTTTTAAAATCCTGATTTCTGGGCCTCCTCTTCCAGAAATTCTTTGTTATGGGGTGGGGCCACAACATTAGTAACAAAGAAACAGAATTTCCGGAGGATGAGGCCCAGAAATCAGGATTTTAAAGATTCCCAGGTGATTCTAATGTGCAGCCAAGGTTGAGAACTACTGCTCTAGACAGAGGTGGTCTCTGGAGGCTTTGAGTCTTTGCCTGATCCACTTAGTCAGAACAGCCTTTAACACTGTACTGCACTAGAGCAGTGGTTCTCAACCTGTGGGTTGTTCTACCCCTTTGGGGATTGAACGACCCTTTCACAGGGGTCGCCTAAGACCATCAGAAAACATATATAATTACATATTGTTTTTGTGATTAATCACTATGCTTTAATTATGTTCAATTTGTAACAATGAAATTGGGGTCACCACAACATGAACTGTATTAAAGGGTCATGGCATTAGGAAGGTTGAGAACCACTGCACTAGAAATTGAGAGGTATAGAGGATCTAAATCAGCCGTGGGCAAACTATGGCCCGCGGGCCAGATACAGCCCGTTTGAAATGAATAAAACTATTGAAAAAAAAGACAGTATCCTTTTATGTAATGATGTTTACTTTGAATTTATATTAGTTCACACAAACACTCCATCCATGCTTTTGTTCCGGCCCTCCGGTCCAGTTTAAGAACCCATTGTGGCCCTCGAGTCAAAAAGTTTGCCCACCCCTGATCTAAATCATAGTCACAAATTCAAACAGACAATCAAAATGAGGAAGCAAAGAAACAACCCCCAAATTAAAGAACTAGCGAATTCTCCAGAAGAAGAGATAAATGAAGCAGAGATAAGAAATTTATCTGAAACAAGTTCAGAATAATGATGTTGAAAATGCTTAACAGTATGAAAAAAGATATAGTAACTATGAAAAAAAAACAGTCTGAGATAAAGAACGACATATCACAAATAACACATTGGAAGGAATACACAGCAGATTAGGGGAAGCTGAAGATCGAATCAGTGAATTAGAAGACAGAGTTGAAAATATCACTCAATTAGAGAACCAAAAAGAAAAAAACCAATTAAAAAACAGGAGGCCAGCTTAAGGGAGCTGTGGGACAATGTGAAACGTAACAATATTAGAATAGTAGGTGTGCCTGAAGAGGCAGAAAGGGCTAAAGGAATAGAGGTGTTTGATGAAATAATGGTAGAAAACTTCCCTAACCTGGTAAAGGAAAAAATCACATAAGTTCAGGAATCACAGAGAACCCCAATAAGAAGAACCCAAACAAACCCAGACACATCATAATTAAAATGCCAAAAATTAAAGACAAAGAGAATCTTGAAGGCAGCAACAGAAAAGAAAGCTGTTACCTACAAAGGAGTTCCCATAAGGCTGCCACCTGATTTCTCATCAGAAACTCTACAGGCCAGAAGGGAATGGCATGAAGTACTCAAGGTAATGGAAAGCAAGGATCTGAGACCAAGATTACTATATCCAGCAAGGCTATCATTCAAAATAGATGGTCAAATAAAGAGCTTCCCAGACAAAAAAAAAAAAAAAAAAAAAAAGGTTAAAGGAGTGTATCACCACAAAGCCAGCATTACAAGAAATGCTAAAGGGATTGCTGTAAGGGATTGCCGAGGAGAAGAGAAGGGAGAGAAACCTAGCCATACAGAATTAAAATGGCTATAAATAAGTACCTCTCAATAAGAACCCTAAATGTAAATGGATTAAATGCTCCAATCAAAAGTGTAGGGTAGCTGAATGGATACAAAAACATGACCCAACTATATGCTGTCTACAAGAGACCCACCTCAAAACAAAAGACACACACAAGATGAAAGTGAAGGGCTGGAAAAAATTTTCCATGCAAATGGAAAAGAAAAAAAAGCTGGAGTAGCAATACTCATATCTGACAAAGTAGACTTTAAAAACGTTATGCTAAGTGAAATAAGCTAGTCAGAGAAAGATAAATATCATATGATCTCACTCATTTGTGGAATATAATGAACAACGTAAACAGATGAACAAAAATAGAACCAGAGGGGAAAAATATATACTAGAATATAATAGAAGTACTCCTGTTATTTGCAGATTTTCCTACAACTTTTGTGATATCATACTATGTTAGTACAGTTTTGGTAATATACTTAAAATCCTTTATTCTTGAAATATTAATGTTTATTGCATGTAATATTATATGTAAGATCATTTTTCTGGAATAATTGGTGTTTATTGCATGTAACATTTAAAATCGTTTTTCTTGAGATGTTAATTTCTATTGCATGTAACATTATATTTAAGATTGTTTTTCTTGAAATATTAAGGTTTGTTGCATGTACCATTATTTTATTTAAAATCATTTTTCTGAAATTTAAAAAAAAAAACTGAAAAAAAAGTAAAACTGGAAAATAAAAAGAAACCCAAAACACCAATCAGAAGGGATATATGCACCCTTATGTTCACAGCAGTGCAATCTACAATACACGTGTTTTTTCTTCTTCAATAAATACATTCAGTTCTGTAAATGTATTTTCTTTTCCTTTTGACTTCCTTAATATTTTTTCGCTAGCTTTATTGTAAGAATGCAGTATACAATACAGATAACATACAAAATGTGTGTTGAGTGTTCTCAAGAGGCTTGTGAAAAGTAGGCTATAAGTACTTAATGTTTTGGGGAGTCAAAAGCGGATTTTCAACTGCATGGGGGGTCAGCACTCTAGCCCGTATGTTGTTCAAGGGTCTACTGTATGTACATGTATTTGTATGTATATATGTGTATACACACATACACATACACACACATGCATGTGTGCATTATTTGAAAAAGAAGGAAAATAATTTAAGCAAAATAATATTTGTTTCACTTGAGCAAATTTTTAGATCTAAACTAGGGGATTTTGGGAATAGATTTATTTAAATCAACAATCATCTCATAAGAATTATTTGATCAGTGATACAATACCCTCATAGATAATTTTAAATGGTTTATATTGATGATTATTGACAGAACAATTAAATTCAAGTTTATGTTCTTGACTGTGAACTGTTCTCTTGGTTTCATCTTCAGGTGGTAGAAAGCAGTTCAATATTTTGCTTGAAAATGCATAAAGAGATGGTTTTTAATTTAAAAAGTGTATTAGAACAGTGGAAGAAGAAGTTAAGTTCTGGCTCTCACATTGTATTAGGTATGTGTTTTAATTTCTCCTTATATTTAGAGAAGGCAGAGGTGTTAGGAATCATGCCTTCAATTCATTTCTGTGTCTCATCTCCAAATTTCTCATCATTTCCCAGATTTATTGAGAATTTGTTAAGGTGAATTCCAAAATGAAAATTAAGATTTTAACGTTGCCCTAGCCAGTGTGGCTCGGTTGGGTGTTGTCCTGTGCACTGGAAGGTTTCTGGCTCGGTTTTCTGTTAGGGCACATGCCTGCTTCCGGGCTTGATCCCCGGTAGGGCGCGTGCAGGAAGCAACTGATAAAGGTTTCACTCTCACACCAATGTTTCTTTCTCTCCCTCTCCCTTCCTCTTTCGCTAAAAATCAATACAAAAAAGATTTTTAAAACATTTAATATTAATGTGGATCTAGGCACACCCCCCCCCCCCCCCCGGCTCTCAGGACATTAGACAGCAACCTTCCTTAGTCTAGAGTAGACATTCTTCCTGGAGTTCCAGCTTGAGGATCACTGTCTCATTTACATATACACACGTGCCTGTGATGAAGCATGTCATAAATGATTGTGACATTTAGTATTAGAAATTTAAAAGTCAAAATGTATAAAATAAATGTTAAAATAGATATGGGCAGCCTAAATTTTCAACAAAAAGAGGGTTTTTTTCCTTCAGCTAAAAGGAGACCACTTTTCTCTGGAATTGAATCACAGAAACAGTGGGAAAGCCCTGGCCCAGTAGCTCAGTTGGTTAAGTGTTAGCCTGATATGCCAAGGCTGTGGGTTCCATCCCTGGTTAGGGTACATACAAAAAGCATCCAGTGACTGCATAAACAAGCGAAACAGCAAAGCGATGCCTCTCTCTCCCCGCCCCCTCTTCCTCTCTCTCTCTCAAGTCAATAAATAAAAAGAAAAAGAGCCTGGCTGGTGTGGCTCAGTGGTTGAGCATAGACCTATGAACCAGGAGGTCACGGTTGGATTTCCAGTCAGGGCACATGCCTGGGTTGTGGGCTCAATCCCCAGTAGGGGGTGTGCAGGAGGCAGCCAATCAATGATTCTCTCTCATCATTGATGTTTCTCTCTCTCTTCCTCTCTGAAATCAATAAAAATATATATATTTTTTAAAGGAAAAGGCTTTTTTGCATCTAAAAAGTAAAATGCAATAAAGAAATGTATTGAAGTACTACAGGCCTGATGCATGAAATTCATGCAAGGGCCTTGGCCCCTGCTGCCGTGGCAGCCACCTCTGCCTTCGTTCCAACCCACCTCTGCTTCGGCTCCTGCCCGCCGTGGCTTTGTCCAGAAGGAAGGACGTTCAGTCTAATTAGCATATTATGCTTTTATTATTATAGATTATTATAGATGGTTGCTGGAATTGTTTGGTAGAGTGCAGTAATACCCTAGTCTCATTTGAAATTGTCGGTATCCTTTTCTCTAGCCTTAACTGATGACTGCATACCACTCTTGGCCATTACTGATGCCACGTGTGTGATTCATTTCAGCTTTCCTTCCTCACCAAAAATTTTTGGTGGACGCCTATATTGCATGTCTGATCATTTTCAGAGTTTAACTGAACAGGTTTGATTATGTTTTATTATCTTTAAACATTTTACTGTGTAATAAAAAATTCAGAATCCACAAAGTTTTGTTGTTCAGACTGGTATGGATGATCCACTTCCTTTATTCACCCCGATTTTAAGGGTTCTCTTGCAAAACAGGGAGGTAAAAAGGCCAAATCTGTCTTGCTGCTGACGGAGAGAAGTTCATGCCATGCTGTGGGTGTTTTGCGATACTTGGAAAGAGCAGATGCCAAGATTCCATCGGAGCTGTATCAGTTTACTGCAGGCGTTCTAGAAGCCAAGGAGGACAAGAAAGCCGGAAGGCCTCTCTGTCCGTATCTTAAGGCTTTTGGATTTTGCAAGTAAGTCAGGCATCTTTTTTTATCATTGAGATATACAGTAAAGGGCACAGGTGGTCAGTTTACAGCTCGATGACTTGTGACGTGTGCACCCATGTAAACCACCACCGGCTCTGAGAGAGCGCCCAGAGCCCCTCTCACGCTCCTTCCCAAGGTGCCCTTCCTCCAGAAGTAACACCCTCCTGATATCCATCAACATTGATCCGTTTTGCTTGTTTTTTTACTTCATACTCAACCTAATATCGGTGTCATTTATCTGTGTTGTTATGTATCTCAGCCTTTTGCTTATTTGTTTATTTAGTGGCTCAGTATTCTATTATAGGAATACTAGATGCCCGGTGCATGAATTCGTGCAAGGGTGGGGTCCCTTGGCCTGGCCGATGATGGGGGCTGATTGGGGCCATCTTGCCCAGTCCCAATCGGTGCTGACTGGCTGGGGGAAGGGACTGCGGGAGGTTGGCTGTGGGAGCACACTGACCATCAGGGACAGCTCCTGTGTTAAGCACCTGCTCCCTGGTGGTCTGTGTGCATCATAGCTACCAGCCGGTCGGTCGGTCATACCATAGTCACTTAAGCTTTTATATACAGTATATAGAAGATAACACAATGTATATATCTATTCTCTTGATGATCCTATGAGTTGTTTCCAGTTTGGGCTGTTTTATAGGAAGCTGCTGTGAACATTCTTGTACCTATATTTTTGTGGAAATATGAACCCATTTCTCTTGATTATATACTTTGGAGTGGAATTGCTGGATCATGGGATAAGCATATGTTTAACTTTTCCAAAGTGCTTGACCATTTTACGGTTTAATCAGTAAGTGTGAGAAGGTTTGAGTTGCTTTATATCCTCACCAACACTTAGAATTCTGGGGTGTAGTGGTAAACCATTGTGATTTTCTTTTGTGTTTTCCTAATAATTAATGATGCTGTCTCTTCATATGCTTGTGGGACATTAGACAATCCTCTTTTTGTGATGTGCCTGTTAAAGTCTTTTGCCCATTTTTAAAAAATGGGTGTTTATCTTTTTCTTACTGGTTTGTAGGATTAATTAATTTATTCTAGATCGAAGTGCTCTGTCAGATATATGCATTGAGAATATCTTTTCCCAGTCTGTGGCTTGTGTTTTCACTCTTTTAATAGTCTTTTGATGAACAGACATTTTAAATACTGACAAAGTATTTTGTGGCTACTGTTTTTCATGTCCTATGTAAGAAATATGTGTCTGTCTCCAGGTCATGAAGACAGTCTCCTGTATCCTCTAGAACAGTGGTTCTCAACCTTCCTAATGCCGCGACCCTTTAATACAGTTCCTCATGTTGTGGTGACCCCCAATGTCATTGTTACAAATTGAACATAATTAAAGCATAGTGATTAATCACAAAAACAATATGTAATTATATATGTGTTTTCCAATGGTCTTAGGTGACCCCCGTGAAAGGGTCGTTCGACCCCAAAGGGGTCGCGACCCACAGGTTGAGAACCGCTGCTCTAGAAGCTTTGTAGCTTTAGCTTTCACATTTAGATGTGTGATCCTATTGAGTTAACTTTTGTGTACAGTGTGAGCTTCGAGGCACCGCTTACTTTTTCCAAATGGGTAATCACTTGCTGCAGCATCATTTATTTAAATCGTCGTTGTGTCCTCACTGAGTTGGTGCCTTTAACATAAACCAGATGACAGTGTATGTGTTCCCTTTGTGGACTCTTTCGGTTACCTTGGTCTACTTGTCTATCCTTATACCAGTCTATTTTTTTCTCAAGTATTGTAGCATATATTATAGTGAGTCTTGGATCTGGTATATTAAGTTCTCCAACTTTGCCCTTCCTTCTTAAAGGTTGTTTTGGCTACTATAAGTCTCTTGCATCTCTATATACATTGTAGAACAGGTTTGTCAACTTGTTCAAAAACTCTGCTGGAATTTTGATAGCAACTGCATCGATTCTGTAAATCAGTTTGGAGAATATGGATATCTTAACAGTAATGGGAGCCTCTCCCTAACCCAGACATAATGCCATTACTTGGTACATAAATGGATGGCTGGGACTGGGTAGTAGGTATCTAATAATTTATCTATTGGATTTAATGTAATTTTAAGATAACTTGACATGTATTTTTTAAATCTATGTTACATTAAACAGGTTATTATCAGCAGTTTCTACTATGCCTTTAAATAGAATGTTGACTTTTAAAACTGAAGCTTCAACTATTTCTAAGTTTGGGTTAAGGCCAGCATGTCAAACTCAAAGGCTAACACGGGCCAAATAAAGGAGGCATGCGGCCTGCAGGCTGTGACTCTGACATGCTTGGGTTAAGGAATGGCTCAGAGTCTATCTTGGAAATCCATTTTGTTCATTTATGTATTACACTTAAGAATGTCTAAAGACATAATGAAGTAACTCATTAATTCAGCATTAATTAAAATTTAGGGTCCTTTTCACATATTTATGTATTGTTAGTGTCATTTGAAGTATTTAGTATATTATCTTTTAAAGTGTTTCAAATAAAAGTTCTCTGATTTAAATTATAGATTCATCTCTGATTTTAAAACCTGGCTACTTTCTTTCAGAGACAAAAGGATTTGTCCTGATCGACACCATATTAATCCAGAAATAGACAATCCAAGAAAATTATCCAACCAGGCAATACCATTGTTTGGATACATTAAAGTAAGTTCTGTTGAAGATTGTTTTGTTGAATGATTAATGGTCATTTTAATGAACATATTTTTTTTAAGCAGCAGAATCTTAGTAGAATATAATTGTGATTTCCAGTGGTCAGTATTAATTTACCACCATTAATCTAATAATAGGCACCCACCCTTAGAAGGCTCCCAGGTTATTTAGAAAACCAAGGTCAAATTGAGAAAGTGGATAAACCCCTTCAACAATTTCAGAAAGAGCGTTTTTTGCAGGGGAGGGATTATTAAAAATAATGCATTGACCACATGAGTCTTTTCAGAGCATACATGGTTATTGCTTTGAGGAAAATTCTGAGATGCAGATAGAATTGCTGAGTTTTCTTTTGAATCCTTTTTATTACTTTTTGAGCTTGATTTCCTTTTCACCTTCCCTTTCCCTTAAAGCAGCGGTTCTCAACCTGTGGGTCGTGCCCCCTTTGGCGGTCGAACGACCCTTTCACAGGGGTCGCCTATGACCATCCTGCATATCAGATATTTACATTACGATTCATAACAGTAGCAACATTACAGTTATGAATTAGCAACGAAAATAATTTTATGGTTGGGTCACAACATGAGGAACTGTATTTAAAGGGCCAGAAGGTTGAGAACCACTGTCTTAGAGTATATCTGTTGTGCTGTACTCATTTTCGGTGGTTGCTGTAACAAACCATAAACTGGGTGACTCACAACAGATTTATTGTCCTGGTTGAGTGTCATCCTGTGCACCGAAAGGTCATAGGTTCAGTTCCTGGTCAGAGCGCATACCCAGGTTTCAGGATCGATCCTCATGTTTCTCTCTCACATGGATGTTTTCTCAACTACTTGAGTAAATACCAAAGAGTGTGATTGTATAGTCAGACTTTTTGTTTTGTAAAAAACTGCCATGCTGTTTTCTGAAGGGCCTGTGCCATTTTGCATTCCCACCAGCAGTAAATGAGTTTTACCAGCATTTGATGTTGTCAGTGTTTTTTGGCTCTTAGCCTTTCTAATAGGGTATTTTTTCCATTGAATTTTAGAGAGTGAAAGAGAGGGAGGGAGGTGGAGAGAGAAATATCAATGTGAGACTCATTGATTGGTAGCTTTCCACACACGCCCCAACCAGGGCCAGGGATCGAACCTGCAAAACAAGGTTTGTGCCCTTGACTGGGAATCGAACCCAAGACCCTTCAGTGCGTGGGCTGACGATCTGTCTACTGAGCCATACCGGCCAGGGTGGTCAGGGTGGTAGTGGTATCTTGTTTTAATTCATATTCCCCTGATGACATATAATTTTGTTTTGTTTTGTCTTTTTTTAATCCTCACCCGAGGATATTTTTCCATTGATTTTTAAAGAGTGGAGGGGGAGAGACAGAGAGATACATCAGTGTGAGAAAGACACATTGATTGGTTGCATCTGGGGCCGGGGATCGAGCCTGCAACTGAAGTATGTGCCTTTGACTGGTATTGAACCTGCGACCCTTCAGTCTGCAGGCTGACGCTTTGTCCACTGAGCCAAATCGGCAGGGCCCTGATGGCATGATTTTGAACATCTTTTCATATGCTTATTTGTCGCTTGTATATATTTTTTGGTGGGTGGTGGGATATTAGTTCAGGTGTTTTGCCCTATTTTTTGTTGTTAATCCTCACTCCAGGATATTTTTTCCATTGATTTTTAGGGAGAGTGGAAGGGAAGAGAGAGAGAGAAACATTGATGTGACACATCGATTGGTTGCCTCCTGCACATGTCCTGGGGCTGGGAATCAAGCCTATGAGCCTTCAGTGCACAGACCAGTGCTCTAACTATTGAGCAACACTGGCTGGGCTGCCCATTTTTTAATCTGGTTGTATGTTGTTTTAAATCTTTATTGTTGAGAATATTACAGATGTTTCCTTTTTTCCTCTCATTGCCCCCCACTACCCTGTTCCCGCCCCACCCCAGGCCTTCACCACTCTACTGTCTGTGTCTATAGGTAATGCATATATGCATATAAGATCTTTGGTTAATGTCTCCTTGCTCCCCAACCCCCTTCCCTCTGAGATTCGTGAATCTGTTCCATGGCTCTTATTCTATTTTATTCATCAGTTTACTTTGCTCATTAGGTTTCTTGTTTGTTTGATTTTTAAATTTAGTTATTGATAGATATGTATTTATTGCCATTTTATTATTCATCTTTTTTCTCTTCCTCCCCTTCTTCCTCTTCCACCTCCTCCTCCCTCCCCCTTCTTCCCTTCCCCTCCTCCTCCTGCTCCTTCTCTCCCCTCTCCCCCCTCTCCCTTCTCTCCCTTAGTCCCCTCCCCCTCAACATTTCATGTAATAGTGTTTTGGTGGTGATGAACTCCTTTAGCTTTTTCTTGTCTGTGAAGCTCTTCATCTGATCTTTCATTCTGAATGATAGCTTTGCTGGGTAGAGTAATCTTGGTTGTAGGTCCTTGCTGTTCATCACTTTGAATATTTCTTGCCACTCCCTTCTGGCCTGCAAAGTATCTGTTGAGAAATCAGCTGACAGTCGGATGGGCACTCCCTTGTAGGTAACTGGCTGCTTTTCTCTTGATGCTTTTAAGATTCTCTCTTTGTCTTTAACCCTTGGCATTTTAATTATGATATGTCTTGGTGTGGGCCTCTTTGGGATCCTCTTATTTGGGGTTCTCTGTGCTTCCTGGACTTGTAAGTCTATTTCGTTCACCAGGTAGGGAAGTTTTCTGTCATTATTTCTTCAAATAGTTTTCCAATATCTCGTGCTCTCTCTTCTCCTTCTGGCACCCCCATAATGTGAATGTTGGTACACTTGAAGTTGTCCCAGAAGCTCCTTACACTATCTTCATATTTTTGGATTCTTTTTTCTTTTTGCTCTTCTGAGTGGGTATTTTTTGCTCCTTTATATTCCAAGTTGTTGATTTGATTCTTGGAATCATGTATTCTCCTGTTGAATCCCTGTAAATTATTCTTTATTTCAGTTAGTATATGCTTAATATCTTACTGGTTGTTTTTCATGTCTTTGACATTCTCACTAAGATGCTTGAAAGTCTTACTAAGTCCCTTGGAGCTCTCATTAATTCCCTTGAAACTCTCATTAAGACCCTTGAATAACCTTATAACCATTGTTTTGAATTCTGTATCCAGTAGTTTGCTTGCTTTCATTTCTCTTATTTGTGACATGTTTCTTTGTCACAGGAGGCGCAGACCATTTTACGGTGTTCATATTTCCACAAAAATATAGGTACAAGAATAAACAGTTTCTTTGTCCACATTTTGGCTGCTTCCCTGTGGTTGTTTCTCTATATTAGGTAGAGCTGCTATGTCTCCTGGAATTGGTAGAGTGGCCTTGTGTAGTAGGTGGTCTATAGGGTCCATTAGCTCAGCCTCCCCAGTCACCTGATCTAGGCACTCCAGATGTGCCCCTTTGTGGGCTGTGTGCACGGTCTTTTCTTTTTTTTCCGCCGGGGTGGGGGTGGGGGTGAGGGAGGCGAAGGGGAGGGGCCAGGGAAAGCTGCTCTCGCTGCAGCTCTGGCGCATGGGGTGCGCAGGGACACTCCGACCCAGGAGGAGGGAGGGGGAAGGAGGTGGGAAGGGGCTGCACAGCCTTATTGTAGTTGAGCTTTGATTGCTGTTGGTGTCACTGGAGGAATTGACCTCCAGGCCAATTGGCTGTGAGGACCAGCTGCATCCACAATGGGAGAGCTGTTGTGCAGGAGACACCCCTGTGGAGCAGGACTCGTTTCAGTGGGGCTTTGGTGCTCACTGAGTCTGCCCCTTGAGTGTGTTGTGTTGCAATCTGGTATGGTCTGAAGCTGTCAACTGGTGGCCCTGACTCTGGGGCTTCCCAGGAGGTGCAAAGTCAGCCACTGCCTGGGGTCACCTGGCAGGAACTACAAAGAGATCTGCAGATGGCTGCTACTTGTATTGGGCTAGGAAGTGCCCAGGCAAAGCCTAGCTGTGAAGCAAGGCAGGCTGGTGCTAGTGCCAGGTCTTGGGCCTTTTATTGATAGGTTTGATGCCAGCTGTTGCTGCTTCCAGAGATTTTAACAAAGTCTGAAGCCTAAGCTAGGACAGGCCATTCATATGGAAAAGCTACTGCAAACAGGTTGGGTGGTGCTGCAAATTGGATGGGGTAGGGTCTCAGGGAATCACCAGGATGGAATGAATAATATGGGCTATGCTGATAGAAACTCAGATATGACTGCCAGTCAGCTCTGCGATGGGGGAGGTCCCAGCACAGTGACAATGATCCCTGTGAGCACCTCTGTCTGGGAGAAAGCCGACTCCAAGTTCCTGCCCCGATGCCAGACAGTCCATTTCCTCCCCAGATATCCTTGGATTATCCCAAAGCTGCCATCTAGCGCTGGGGCTCAGAGAAGCAGGACCATGTAAGTTTGTGTGCCGGCTCTTTAAGAGGAACTTCTGGGACTCCAGTAGCATCCCTGTCACTCAGCCACAATCCCCACTGGTTTTTACAGCCTGAAGTTATAGGGGCTTCTCTTCCCAGTTCTGGAACCCTGGGCTGGAGGTCTGGTATGGGGTTGGGACCCCTTACTTCTCACAGGAGGCCTTGACAATATCTCTCCCAATTAAAAAAAAGGCACACATGAGTGTGGACCAGCCTTTTCTGCACCTCCAACTCCTGCTACCAATCTCAGTGTATTTTCTTCTTTACTTCTCTAGTTGTAGGACTTTCATTCAGCCAGATTTCGGGCGGTTCTGAATGATGGTTGTTCTGTATTTTAGTTGTAATTTTGATGTGGTTGAGGGAGGCAGTGTGTACCAGCATTTACCTATGTTGCCATCTTGGTTCTCTGATTGTATGTTTTCTTATTGTTTAGTTTTAAGTATTTGTATATTTTGGATACCAGCCCTCTATCAGATATGTATTTTGCAAAAAATTTCTTCAAGTCTGTGGCTTGTCTTTTCATTCCCCTTAGAGTATTTTTTTGCAGAGCAGAAGTTCTTAATTTTAATGAAGCCCAACATTCCAATTTTTTCTTTCATGGATTGTGCTTTTGGTGTTGCAT